ATATATATCAATATATATATATATATATATATATATATCATCATGAATAAAAAATGCTATTGCAATTGATATTAAATACTGTAGTGTTTCTGAATCATAACATACTATTTACAAATATTTGTGTACTACATTAGCTGGACCTTTAAATCTTTGCAGACCATTTACATTACACTAAAGGAGACACTGGATAAACATAGAAGTAAATCAGTCAGATTACTGAGTCTCTCACCATTAGCAGCGGCCATCAGCGCCTGCAGTTGCTCGGCTTCGGTGGGAGGATTGGGCCAGGGTCCGGTTCCCACGGCAACCTCAGGAGTGGCAGCAGCTCTGGAAGAGGAAGAGGAAGATGAGTCAACCAAACAGAGGCCAGTCTGTTCTGCTGCTACCAGCAACAGCTGCACCGTGTGTGTGTGTGTGTGTGTGTGTGTGTGCTTTATCGATGCAGATTAGTCAAAGAGAGTTACAGTATCAAATATAAAGACATCAATTGTTCCAACCTATCAGCTGAAAACAGAATTATTCACATTGCTCTGAATCAAACAGTACAATGATAAATTATTGCATCCAAAACAATATTTAGGTCAAAAACACAAATAAAAAATGTGTCACGATAATAAAATAAATAAAATATAATTATAAATAAAACTAACACATATTGGGCCTTGACAGCAATACAGAAAATATATACATAGAAACATTTTCTACAGCAGTTTAAAATAAATAAAAACATTTATATAAAAACAGTAACTAAGAGAATAAATACACATAGATTAACATACTTTACATGTTTTATTTGTGTCCTCCATTTGTAACTAAGCAAGGAAAATTGGTCAGGTACAATGTTGTTTTTTCTCTTCATATAGTCAAATCTTTTATCCTTTCATCATCATCATCATCATCATTATATCATTATTATTATTATTATTATCATCATCATCATCATCATTATAATAATTATTATTATCATCATCATTATTATTATCATGAATATTATTATTATCATTATTATTTTTATAATTATTATTATTGTAATTATTATTACTATCATTATTATTATTATCATCATCATCATCATCATTGTTATTATTATTATTAATATTATTATCATCATCATTATTATCATCATCATTATTATTATCATGAATATTATTATTATCATTATTATTTTTATAATTATTATTATTGTAATTATTATTACTATCATTATTATTATCATCATCATCATCATTGTTATTATTATTATTATTATTATTTTCATCATTATTATTATTTTTATCATTATTAATATTATTATCATCATCATCATTATTATTATTATTATCATCTAATAATAATAAAATTATTATTAAAACTGTTTAATCAGTTTTTATTCCTGTTTATGTAAATTACTTTAAAGTACCATTGTGTATAAAATGTGCTATATAGATAAACTTGCCTTGCCTAAATGTGACAGGTAGGGTTGCCACACACACACACACACACACACAAACACACTCAATCCTCCATGAAACTTTAACTACACCATGCTGGAACTGGAACGAGAGGCAACAGCTGCTAAAAAAACGACAGCGATCGCACACAAAACCGCTGAACATTTCCATGTGCGGAGACTTTATCTTCAAAGCCTTGTTTAAAAACTCTGCAATTTGCATCCATAGTGAACAAAAGCCCTTCTTGCACTAAAATACACCTCATTACACACACACACACACACACACACACACACACACACACACACACACACACACACACACACACACACACACACACACACACACACATTCTGTGCTGACGGTAACCAGGAAAAGCTACAAAAACACTTAATTTAGCACAGTTAATTCCCCACTAGCACACACATTTTTTTGTAGATTAAAGCTATATAAACAGGACACAATGTGTTAATTAAAGATTATAAAGACGACTACGGTCAAAGTTTTCCTTAATTAGCATCGGCTTCACGAACAAAGCACTGTTCCTCATAAAATGTCCGGATACGTTTTCTCTCTCTCTCTGCATGTGAGAGGAATAATGGAGGTTCCTCATCCTGTTCTCAAAAAACTTCAGGAAATACGTTCACAACTTTAACGATTTTGAAAAGAATGTTTATGAATAGTCTCTTCTGCTATTTTACTTAATCTAAAATACTGTAGAATTATTGAATAGAATATAATTAATGTGAAACATTAGTCACAATAATAGTTTCAACTGTGACCCCGGTCACTTTTTTGTAAACTGAGATTTATACTGAAACCTGAATACATTTTAATTGATGTTATGATAATATTTAGAGAGAGCTGTGTTCAAATCTGGAAACAGGGTTCAAAAATTGAGGAAAATAGATTTTAACCGAATTAAGATCTTATTAATGCATATTACTTTGATTTAATGCATTGAATTTATATATTTTTTGCCCTTTCTCTTTTTTTTATTATGTCAATCTGTTTTAAGTTGCTTTGTTGTTAAAGAAAAAAAATTAAAATAAATGTTTACTAAATACTGAATACCCC